TATATATATATATATATATATATAATAATAATAATAATAATAATAATATATTATTATTATTATTATTATTATTATTATTATTATTATTGTTGTAGTAATAATAATTATTATTATTCTAACATGCAATTGGACTTGCAAGGTGGTCGGCAAACGGGCACCGACCGTGATCAAGATCTCAGGAACGGACGTGCTGGACAATAACGCCGTTAATGCTGTGTCCGTACTGTTGACGACACTGCTAACTGCGGTGGCGTGCATGTACATCTTCTGAGGGGGCACCGTTATCTCTGCCGAGCTTGTACGATGGAGTAGGTGTCTGTTGCTGCAGGTAATGATCCAAATTATAATTCATAGACTTGCCTGTGACCCTCCATTTTTCCCCACGTGATACAAATGATGTGCCGTTTGTTACTGGGAAACATATTACTGTTGAAGACGCATGCCTCGCCACCTGTAGAGGTGACGTGAGAAAGCCAAGCTCGACGAGTTGATGCAATGCTATGGCATCAGAACGGTCCGAAATGCATGTAAAACAACTTCCCTGAGAGATAGAGAGAGAGAGAGAGAGAGAGAGAGATGTGTGTCCTACTTGTGGACAAACTCCATCATCTCTTGGCTGAAGGCGGAGAGATGGGCCCGTTGGACGCACCGCGTCATCAACCTCACGCCCTGCTTCGGCTTCGACGGCTGCAGGTAGATGCAGGAGGCGATGAAGTTACTGTCATCATTCAAGGGAGACACATGGATCGGGTCTCCCCACCCGTAGTCCACTTCCGCGAACCCCACCCGGCTCCAATCCGACACCACCACCGTCCCGTACTCCAGCGGCACCTTGTACGGATCCTCCCCCCGACTCCCCCATCATCCAATCCAAGAACTTGGCCGACATCCTCTCCTTGGCGTCCCTTATCAGCTCCATCACCTCCACCAGCGAAGCACCGGCCACGGTTCCACTCCTCGCCTTGACCTCCATGGGGTACACGCAGTTGCCGTAGAAGCCTTCCTGCGGCAGCAGCTGGCGCAGCAGGTGACGGGTGTTGGCCGCGAAGCCGAGGTGCACGTCGACGTGGGGCTCCAGGCCTATCCCCCGCGTCCGGCACTGCCAGACCATGGCCGTGACCACGTCGAACGTGGAGCACTTGTGGCCCCTCTCTCGCGAGAACTGGTTCTTCACCGCGTTGATGTGGTCCAGCGAGACGTCGAACACGGCGGTCTCGAAGCGGAAGAAGGCGAGGGACGGTGGGTGCCCCCGCGATTGCTTGGGCGGACTGGGGATGACTTCTCTGCACCAAACCGGCTCGACGACAAGACGAGCATGGCCTCTTGCGATCTCAGCCACAGCTTTCAGGAACTGGGCGGCTCCGAGGCCGTCGAACACTGTGTGGCTGAATCTGATGCCCACTGCGAACCCGCCGCAGCTGAAGGTTGTGACCTGCACAGAGTCGGAGAATCTATGGCAGTCACGATCGCTACCTCCCCCTCAGAATGACGAACGTATATCGCATTCTATTTGTTTCTTTTCTTCGTCGTTTCATTTCAGTCATGTCTATCATACATGAAGATAAACTAAAGATTTTTTGCACCCATGAAAGAAGGGAAAAGCATATAGATATGCTGCTGCTGCTGCTACATGTGTCGCCCGCAGCACACGTCTCAACCCACCCTCTTGATTGCCATGAAACTACGTGCGAAGCAGGGAACGGTGGCATGGTTCCCTTGCATCCGGAAATACCTATGATACTTGGCAATACGCAAGACCATGCATACGTATGTTGGCAAATGCTTTATGGCCCAAACAAATGTTGACAGTCTAAAGCGGGTTCAGTCCATGATGAGCTTTATCAGTCCATAGCTCATATCCCCTCTTAATCTAACTTTAGATCAATATAAAGAGATATGATAACTATATTTTTTGGATAGAAAAGGACAGTAACGTGATGATCTTTGCAACAGTAAAGAGGAGAAGAAAAAGATAAAAAAACAACAGAAAGAAAGGGAAGAAAATAAGGACAACACAGAGAGATTATTCTCAATCATCTAACAATGTTCTCATCTCAGGTTAGATCAAATCTACAGTAGACTTTTGCTGTGATTACTTAGGGAGATTTTAGATATTGTGGACAGTGACGTGATCCTTGTATCCCAGTTATTCTCTTGTGATTGTTGTTAGGGTTTAGGGCAAGAGATTAAGATTTGTATATTTATTATTCTCATAATAATTTTTTCTAGTTTGTCTCGTGGTTTTTACCCTTCACATTGGAGGAGTTTTCCACGTATATCTTGATATTCTATTTGATTGTGATTTCATTTAATTTCGCTGCATATTATGACCTACTAGTATTTGTTCATATACAAAGATTATTCCGCTTTATATTCCCATCAACAAACATCCCATGTTCACAGGCCATCCACCGAGGGAGGGCGCCTGGTCGATGATCGATGATAGATAGTAAACAACTAATTCAGCATACTGTTTCTTCTGCTTCCGACTCGATCTCAATTACTATTGGTGTAGAGAATTGTTGAGACATGAGAAGGAAAAGCTTAGGTTACCACGTACCTGCATCATAAAGATCAAATCCTCCACGTTCACTTGAAGGGGAGCAAATGGGAGGAGCTCCTCCTTGCTCAGTACGAGGGGGCGCTCCAGGTTGTTGACACCTTCAAGACTGCAGTCGGTGGAGGCCTCCACGAACCACACGCCATCGCCGGTGCAGGCGACTTCGGGCTCACCGGGGCTCGGCTCGACGATGCGGCCGGCGACGGGGTAGTAAGGGACGAGAGCCCTGGACAGCGCCGCCTTGATGGTCTTTGCCGACTCCAGGCCATGCTTGAAGACGAGAACCAGGTCCACCAGGATCCTGACCACCGCCGTGCGGTCCATGGAGGAGAGAGGGAGGCGGCCGGACGGCGTCGGCACTCCGGGGGCCACGAGCTCCGGGGCCTGTTTGCTCACGCAGAAGCTCATGGTTGCTGTAGCCGCTGCACTGGTGAGGCTGGCGAGAGCATGGGGATGCGTGCCTCGGTATATATAATCCTAGTATCGGGCCATTCTGGGTTGGTGGGTGGGAGAAGGTGTGAATGAGTCGGCTTTGAAGTGTCGCTACCATACACAGACTCCACTGAAGCCTCTCTCTTTTGAGCGATCGCATATCCAACACAATTAACACACAGACTACACTGAAGTGTTTCTCTCTTTTCTTTTGAGTCATATCCCACACGTTTCGAGCGATCGCATGTCCAACAAAATTAATCGATATTTTTTATTTTTTCATCTTTTCTCACCGGAGGAGTGTCTGCGGTAGATGTATATAAACAAATGCAAACAGATCGTAACATACAGTAAAATTAAATAAAATTATAACTAAATAGAACATAAGATTTACGTAGAAAATCACTCCAACAGTGAAAGGTAAAAACTATGAAACAAACCAAAGAAAAGTTATTATAAAAATAATAAATATTGAAATCTCAAAGTTTCTTACCAAAAACATAAGTAACAATCACAAGAAAATAACTAGGATATAAGGATTATGTCACTGTGCACAAAATCTCCTCGTATAATCACAACAAGAGTTTACTGTAAATCTGATCTAACTTGAGGTGATAACACTGCTTGAATGATCTAGAACAGTATTATCCTTATCTTTTTACCTTTTTTTTCTCGTATATTTTTGCTCTTTCTATCTTCCTTTTTTTGAATCACGTTTGATGTAGTTTTCAATCTTTTTTTAGCCACCTTGCCCCTTTTTTAGATTTAAATATTAAGATTAAAGTGGATTACAATTATTAAAATCCACTATGGATTAAACTAATGGTTATCTGTCCAACATGCAGCTTTGACTGGTTTGTTGGCGGTCATTCAAGCCTTTCAACAGAATGGTAAAAAAAATAAATGCAGTCATTATGATGGGGCTGTTTACAGAATTATATATATATATATATATATATATATATATATATATATATATATATATATATATATATATATATATATATATATATATATATATATATATATATATATA